GCTGAGTAGTACAGATATTTTTAGTTATTGTCCTTTCATTTAGTAGTGTTAAGCATTTGGATGGTTTTTGCGTTGTTAGGCCATCGTAAAATATTCTTATATGACGTTTCGCCAACACGAGTGGTTGGTATCGTCAGAAGGTGTTCACACTTCGGAGTCCTGCGAGCTACTAGTGTTAAGCATAACAAAAATGTTGGTTTGCCCTACACCGAAATTGGCCGCCGTGTTACTTGTACTGCAATGACGGTAATACGAGTGCATCGTGTGTGGATAGAACGAAAAGTATTTTTTCTTGATGCACGTCATACAAATCCAAATATATCTCATTTTCGTAACTTTTCGCAATTACAATACTTCCTCGCTAATGACGTGCGAAGTAAAATGACAAACTAATCTCCTACCTTTGGCGGCTTTGCTTCCGGCCGTCGACACCGCTTGTTTCTTCTGTTCTACGGCTGTGGTTTTCTTGGTCTGCGCAGGGGCAGCAGCTTTTTTGGGCGGAGCCGTCGTTTTTTTCGCCGCTTTCGGATTAGGTTTCTTCACCTTGGCTACCTCAGGTGATTTTTTGGTAGCCAAGGTTTTCTTGGCAGGGGATTTGGAAGCGGGCCGCGACTTACGTTTGGTGCCCTTCTTTTTGAGCTGTTCTTCGTCTTTGTACAAAGATAGATCCACTGAAATTTATTTATAATATATTATTCATTTAGTCAATAACCGTCAGGAGTTAAACATCGCACGCAGGTTGTGTAACGCATAGGACTCCATTGTCATCTCATATATCACATATCATGCATGTATGTTGATGGTTGGAGCAATATAGCAATATAGTCGCTTATAACTCAACAACTAATGCTCAAAGCGTCAAGGTATGTTATATATTCAGTTTATTTACGTAATCAGCCTGGAAAGTGGCACTTCATGTAGCATAAATGATATATGGAAATACGGAAAAGAAAAGTGAGTTTATGGCAACAAAAACTCGAAAAAATGAAAAATGTGATTCTGCTTGGGAGTTTGATGAAAAGCGATTGAGGGATATTATCAAGGAGTCTTTTCTAAAATACTTAGGACCAGTAGAGCAGAAAATTGAAAGCAAAATCAAAGACCTGAGTGAATCTATTCAATACATGTCAGACTCTTTTGACGATCAAAAGCGGGCATTGGAAAGTGTCTTGTTGGAAAATAAGACACTAAAAAAGGAAACTGCGGACTTGAAGAAGAGACTTCAGATGTTGGAAGGGAGAGTCGAAGCTTTTGAGAACAAGGAAAGGACCAAGAATTTGATAGTAGCAGGAGTGCCAAAACAAACCAATTTAGACATTAAAGGAAGTATAATGAAGATTTTTACAGCTATGCAAATACAAACTACAAACATGGTAATGGAGAGTTTTCGATTGGACAAAAATGGTGAAGGACCTATCTTGTTAAAAATGCAAAGTGAGCAGGCAAAAAGGGATGTTATCAAAAGAATCAAGGATTTAAAGGGTATATCTACAAGGCAATGTGGCTTAGAGGGAAGTGACAGAAAGATTTATTTCAACGAGGATCTGCCAATATCTAAGAGGGTACTTTTCAAGATGGCAAGGGAACTTAAAAAGCAAAAGGGATATAAGGCAGCTTTTTACCTCAATGGATCTGTTTACATCAAAACAAATGAAAATGAGCAAGCCATAAAAATTAAATGTGAGTCTGATTTGGACAAATTAAGATAGTATAGGTATAGTAAATGTTTTAGGAGATCTAAAACAGAACTTGTAAGTAATAATTTTCTCTTTTTTAATGGCTATAAACAGTATTTTTGATGATTATAAGATCTTAGAAACAAACATATGTGATAACTTATGTCAAGTAGACTTCTTTGATAATTCTGTAAGCAACCTTAATTTTATGCATGTAAACATACGTAGTATTTATCAAAATTTTTACCAATTTTTGGTGTATCTTGAATCATTAAGTAAATCTTTCGATGTTATAATTATGTCAGAAACACACTATGTATACAATATAGACGATTTTAACATTCCTGGGTACAAAATATTCTTTAACGAAAGTAGTCTTAATCGATGTGATGGATCAATAATTTTTGTTAAAAATGAATATCATATTACAAATCAAATAATTCAAGAAAATAATTTAAAGATTATTAGTGTCACTTTGCAAAATAATCATGCAACGGTTGTTCTCCTAGCTACGTATAGGTGTTTTTGTATTTCAAAGGATGAATTCATTGATAGTCTAGGAAGAATATTTCAACGTTCCATCACTGATCGGAACAAGGTTTATGTATTTGCTGGGGACATTAATATTGATCTCTTAGATAGGGAAACAGATACAACAAATAACTATTTGACTTTATTGCAAGGCTATGGGTTAATGAGTGCAATTAATAAATCAACAAGAATTACTGATAACAGTGGGATTTGTTTGGATCACTTTTTTATTAAATGTAAGAGTAATGTTTTTGAAAAGGTTAGGGCTGTGATTTTGAAGAGCGACCTTACAGATCATCACCCCATTCTTCTTAATATTCAGCTAGATAGATTAGGTGAGGGCATTACAAATGAAATTAATACTTTTACAAAAATAGATTATGAAAATATCACACAAACACTAAACGGAGAGTTGTGGGGTGATGTTCTACAAGAAAATAATGTAGAGCTTTGCACAGAGGCTTTCATTAATAGACTAAAAGACATCATTTTGAAAGCCACTATAACTAGGCCTATACCCAATAAAAAAAAGAAATTAAAACCTTGGATCACTGGTGGGCTCCTAATATCTATTCGAAACAGAAACCTCCTTAAAAGGGAATGTGCACTAAATCCCAGCAATTTCGTAGTTTTAAACAGGTATCAGGAATACAAGAAATTTTTAAGTAAACTTATCAAGAAAGTGAAGTATAATTATTACAAATATTTAACACAAAAAAATTTGGATAACCCCAGAAAATGTGGAATGTGCTTAGAGAGGCCACCAATGACCAAGAGAGTAAACCAGAAATAAAATGTATCACTACCAAAACTAATTCAGAAATAACTGATAAAAAAGAAGTTGCAGATGAATTTAACAATTATTTCTGCAACATTGGTAAAAAATTAGCAAGTGAAATTACTAGAGGTACTTGGAGGAATGAAGTGCGGGAAAAAAGAGGTAATGAATCACTTTTCTTGTGTCCTGTGACGAATGATGATGTAATTAGGGAGATAAACTGTTTAAAGAATGGGGTAAAAAGCGGGGAGGATAATATTTCATCAAATATAATCAAGAAATATAAAGAAAAACTTAGTATTCCATTGAAACATATAATAAACCTAGTTTTTGGTACTGGTATTTTTCCACAAATATTAAAAAAAACCAAAGTGATACCTCTTTACAAACAAGGAGATAAAAAAGACATGAACAACTATAGACCCATTGCATTAACTAGTACAGTAAGTAAAATTATTGAGAAATGTCTGAAAAGAAAATTAATGCAGTTTTTGGAAAAGCATAAATTACTCAACTTAAATCAGTTTGGTTTCAGAGAGAATTCTAACACTGAAGTTGCACTTGTCAGGGTCACTGAGAGTATTCTGAAAGCGCTAGACCAAGGAAAAAAGGTGATGGGTATATTTTTAGATCTAAAAAAGGCATTCGACACAGTGGCACATCCAATTTTACTAGGTCGTTTGGATAATCTGGGAATAAGGGGCATTCCAAATAAACTCATAAAGTCCTATCTTTCTGGACGTGAACAAATCACAAATGTCTCGGGTCACGAAAGTAATATTTTGAAGGTAGAATGCGGGGTGCCACAAGGTACGTTTCTCTCAACTTTGCTGTTTATAATATACATAAATGATATAATGGAACAATTAAATGATGCAAACATAACTATCTATTGCTTTGCAGATGATACGAGTATTTTAGTAAGTGGTGAAGATTGGGATTCCGTCAAATTAAAAGCTGAAAGAGCATTGCACACAATTAAAAATTGGCTAGATTTTAGTTTGCTCTCTCTAAATATTGAAAAAACCAATTTTATGACTTTTTCCCTTTCCTCGCGTACTTTGCCTAATCTAAACTGCATTAAGATTCATGACTCATATTGTGACTTTGCACCTCAGTGTGCATGTAGCAAATATATAAATAAGAAATCGAGCTTGAAATATCTAGGAATAATTATAATGTAGATGAACTTCTTACTTGGAAAGATCATGTTGAGTATGTTACAACAAAGATTAGAAAACTTATTCACAAATTTTATGAATTAAGGGAAATATTAGACTTCAGAACTCTTAAAACAGTTTATTTTGCTTTAACAGAATCTGTAATTAATTATGGTTTCGTAGTTTGGGGAAATACAAGTTTAGCAACGTTATCCAAGTTACAGGTAGCTCAGAAATGGATCATAAAAATTATGCTTTTCAAACAGAAACGATATTCATCTGAACTTGTTTTTAGAGACAGTAAAATAATGAACCTAGAGCAGCTCTATTTAAAATCACTTATAAGATTTATGATGAAATATGATTTCTACAAAGAATACTTACAGCATGGCCAAAATACAAGAAGTGCTGCTCATGCAAAAGTAAAATTGCAAAACCCTAGACACACACCTTGCCAGAGTCACGTTTACTGTATAGGTCCAAAAGTTTATAATGATGTGCCAAATAGTATTAAGAGATTGAGATATTCTACTGTTAAAAAGGAATTAACAAGATGGATTATTGATAGTCAATACGCCATTAATTATGTAATATAAAAACCTGTAGCATTAAAGCTATTAAGTTCCTAAAATTTAAGATAAAACATAATAGCTTTGAATTTGTTTGATCTATTTTTATATTTCTTTTTCTCTTTGTAAACTAGAATTAAGAACCTCAATGAAAAAGTTACACTTAACAATGTGAATGGGGTGCACACACAGTATTTTGAATACAATTGTGCATCTAAAACTATTAGCAATAGTGGGTAATTTTAAGAATAGATAGCTGGATTTAAATATTATACAATAATTGTAAAGTCTATATATTTAATATGATGTAAAAAACTGTATACATGTTGAATCTGCTGCTAATAAATAAACAAATAAATAAAAAAAAATAAATATGACCTTGCCTTGGAATGTACAAGATGCGGTGTTATCAAACGAACCGTTGAAGCGACGTAGCAGAATTTGTGGAGATCCTGACATTTCATTTAAACCCAAAATGGAGCGCCGTTAGGACTGATCCGGAATCAATCCTCAACAGATTCGACACAATTCACAATTCAAAAATGTGTATGCTCAAAATAATACCATTATTTGGGAGTAAAGAATAAACTAACGCATATTTCCATGAGCATCTTAGGCAACGCGGTGCTGAGCTACGCTAACCAGGCGGCTTCTATCTCTTTCTAACAACACATATACACTTCTCTCTCGTACACAAATTTGGTTCCCAGTGTATATTAATGTCAAATGGCATTTATGCAGCTTCAAAACATAAGCGACTGCTGGGTCGCGTACCTCACCCGCTCATATTGACAGTGTTGCGTGCCCAGCTACTGGTTAATGCGAGAATTGGATGACTTATAAAATATTTGGTTTGCCCTGAAATGAGATTTACCTGAAAATAATTTTATTCCAACAGTAGCTTAAGCTACAAAACTGTCTTGAGAACTTTTATTATACGTAGTCATGCCATAAGTT